ATCTCCAGGCTTTCGCCCAATACATTAGACTTGCTTGTGGTGCGGGCGCCACACCCATAAACATAAACTGAAAATTAAATAAAAATATAAACTACAGCCTGTTTGGGCCACAATCCATATGTAGGATAGACAAAAGGAATAGCCCCTTATAAGAGGCCTAAGACCTAATATACCAGTTCATATATGGTCAGAGATAGAAAAAGATTTCTGGAACAACTTTACAGAGGCGTCTCATATACTAAGGTACCAAAAATCTGTTATAACAGGCTATAATTTGTATGACAGGATATTAAAATGTTAGGGTTATGCTGGGTAGTGGTGGCGCACGCCTTTAATCCCAGCACTCGGGAGGCAGAGGCAGGCGGATCTCTGTGAATTCGAGGCCAGCCTGGTCTACAAAGTGAGTTCCAGTACAGCCTCCAAAGCTATAGAGAAACCCTGTCTCAAAAAACCAAAAAAAAAAAAAAAAAAAAAGAAGGCAGAAGCAGGTGGATCTTTGAGTTCAAGGCCCGACTGGTCTACATACTGAGTTCCAGGACAGGAAGGACTATACAGAGAAACCCTGTCTTGAAAAACTAAACAAATAGAAAGTTAGGGTTATGAATTAGAATATTTAAAGTGTTTTATGGGAACACTTTCTCTGTGTAGCATGTATTACTATAGGACAGAAATTAAATAAATTCACTTTTCAAGCCATACTAATGAGACATGCTAAAGGGGAATGAATAGGACTTCCTGAGCAAACAATGTAAATCAGAAGCTGATACTGACAAATTCTCCATGAAACAGCTATGGAGACTATGTTAAACATCTGTATTTCCGAGTAACCACTGCAGAGGCAATGGACTACAGAATTTCCATTTGAGGAGCAACTATGAGCTTGCAATTGGATAGTAAGCAAAAAGACCCCATGACTGAAGTACATCAAATACTCTTGGAATCTGAAGTATTCATGGTATCTTGTAAGGTCAGACAAACTCTCTGCAGGGAAAGTTGCGTAAGGAAATAGAAATAGTTTATATGGATCTCATTAACCCTGAGTGCAAAAAGAGGCATAAATGCGAGTATCTCTTTCCTTAGGACTGATTGGAATTATGTAGGAATCTGCCAGGTTCCACTGCCACCTGGATATGGCACCTCTCAACAGGCCAAAAACGGTGACGTGGTTTATGGGTGGCAGCTCCAAAGCAAATGAGCATGTCTTGTTTTAAGGTCACTGCAACAACTGAGGAAGCTAAAAGCCAATCAGCTTAATGGATTGGCTAAACCACACACTGTTTCTCTAGCAGCGATAAAAGAGCAGACACAATGATAAAGACCTTTACGTCGGAATCTTTTCTAACTTACAATTGTCATATGGTCAGATAGATGGGTAGTGTAAAATCAGATTATTAAAGGCATGCTTGCACAGGATAGTCCCATATATCTATCACAATTGGCCTGAATAAAATCTTCCTTACTGCTTTAAAAACAACACAAGTAGAACTAGACATGGTAACATATGTTTGTAAGCCCAGAGGTAGAGAAATGAAAATTAGGAGTCCAAACTTATCCTCAGATACAGAGCGATCTCAAAAGCAGCCTGGGCTACATGAGACCCTACTGCTACTTAAAAAAAAAAAAAAAAGGACAAATGCCAGGTGCTGATGGCACACACCTTTAATCCCAGGCACTTGAGAGATACAGGTAGGCAAATCTCTGTGAGTTCAAGGCCAGCCTGGTCTATAGAGTTAGTCTAATAGTAGGTGGAGACATGCTCATTGGTTGAACATTTACCTAACATGTTTGAGACAACTTCATGCCCCTCACTCTCCCAAATCTAGTAATTCCAAAATATTAGTCAAAGCTTGTTAAAATCTACTGCTTTTTGAATCAAAGTCACGGAAACAGTTTCTTTCTATCAGAACATTAGGTTTGTTTTTTATGATTGATAAACTACAACCAACAAACGAGGTCTACTTTGGCATGACTAGCAACGTGTAATTAAAAGACTTCCAATGTTTTCAATAAAACTCCAAGGAGCTTTTACTTTCTCACAACTAGGAAAGGAGAAGAGGCCCGATGGAATGGCAGAGAAGCCCTGTAGAGGCAGATGGGAATAGGAATAAGGGTTGCTGTAGGTGGCAGTCAGTAACTGCTTATTTCCTTTGTGAAGAGTGAAAGGAGGTAACTAAGCAAGCCCCAAAAGTGTTCTGGAGGCTTTAATTATTTGTACCAAAAGTCAGACATTAGTGTTTAAATTCTCCATTGTTTATATTTCCACTATTCTTTTGAAAAGAGGTCCATACTCCCAGATTACGATGTCTGGCTTCATGTAACCTTCAGGGCTACGACTTATGCCTTCTGACATAGGTGCCAGAAAAGAGCCTTGTCTTCCCGTGTGCACTCTCACTGAAAAAGGACCGTGACAGAGATACTCTCTAGATAATAGACTCAATCTGTCTACATAAATTGTGGACTGAAATTTCAAATCAGTTCAATGAACACTTTCATCATTGAAATCCATCTACTTAGATTCACTTTGAATGTTCATGGTAATTGCTTGGCTCTTGAAGCACCTTTAAATTTTACAGCATATATTTATCAATATGGAACAAATGAAGTAACAAATATCCTTAAAACCCCCTTATGCAGAATCACAAAGGGCAAAAAAGGGCACCAGAGTACAAAGTAATATAATGGCTCCTTTAAAACTCTGTTCACAGCCAGATCTCTGTGAGTTTGAGACCAGCCTGGTCTACAGAGCTAGTTCCAGGACAGCCTCCAAAGCCACAGAGAAAGCCTGTCTCGAAACACACACACACACACACACACACACACACACACACACACACACACACACACAAACTCTGTTCACTTAAAAAAAACACCAAAATTGCATTTACACAAAGCTTTCATTTTATACCTACAAATATTAGTAATGGCACATTGATCATATAAGGCAAAGAATGAGTAAATAATTATTGAGACAGGTAAGGAGAGATTATGTATAGATCCAGTACAGTTACCAACATGGTTTAGTTATCTGGGGAGAGACTGACCTAAGTCTAAATTTTGGAACCACCACTTTACTTACTTGTGCTACGGCTACTTATCTCCCCTGTGCCCCAGTTTCCCCCTGGATAAAAGGAACATCACACATAGTCTAAAGATCCTAGATAGGTCTTCTCATTTAACTTTCACAATTAATCTGGGGGTGGGTGGCAAAAACACCCCAGGGACACAGGGTGCGAGGGACAACACTTCTGAAAATTAAGTCAGTCACCTAAACAGCACTTATAGTTAATAAGGGATAGAGCAGAGATTTGAAACTAAGGTGTTTATAACTTCTAACACCAATACTGGTTAAATGCTTTAAAGAAATTATTTCTTTTATGTGTATGAGGGCTATACTCGAATGTATGTCTGTGCTCCATACATGTGCCTGGTGTCCTGGAGGTCAACAGAAGGTCAAGATCTCCTGGAACTGGAGCTGTGAGCTGCAATGCGAGTGCTGGGAATCAAACTCAAGGCATCTGCAAAACCAGCGAGAATAAGTGCTCTTAATCCTTGCGCCATTTCTCCACCCTATTTAAAAATTTCTAATCCTAAACTCTGAAACAGTCTGAAATCTGACACTGAGAGTTGACATCATGCAGCTCCCCAATTCTACCAAGCCTCAAGCAGACAATGAACAGGTAACAATGAGCACTGAGAAAACGAGAGCAAAAGGAACATTAAGGACTTAGACATCCATTAGAGAACTCTGATAACAAAGCGCAGCACTGAACACATTATCAAAAACTATTGTGTAGGATAAACTGAGAAACCTCACGAAGGGCTGTCAACATACAAATAGTGTCAACACACACACACAAGATGGGGAAGCATAAATATAGCCCTCTTGGCTCAGTTTCACTTATAATTTAAAATAGAAAAATAAAAAAGGAAAGTGAAAAAATAAACATGACAGCAACAGTAGGGAGACTGTTCCACAATTCTGTCAGCCTAAATACAAACTAGCAAAATGTTAATCCAAGTATCTGTGCCATATTTTCCAAAGTTTTAACAGAGCACATGGCTAGTTTACAATCTCCTACAATCCAGTATCTCTTAAGACACAACATCGCTATTTCTTCTGTAAATTCATACTCAGATGGGAACAGGTTATCTTGGCTAGGCTCAATACTAGTCATCAAAAATATACTAGTGAGACAAAATTCAACTTGCTAGTACCTTAACTAAATCTGTGTTGGGAGAACTTTGAATAAAAGGTACAATAAAGATAACACTTTCTGACCGGACGGTGGTGGCGCACGCCTTTAATCCCAGCACTCAAGAGGCAGAGGCAGGTGGATCTCTGTGAGTTCCAGGCCAGCCTGGTCTACAAAGCAAGTTCCAGGACAGGCTCCAAAGCAATATAGAGAAACCCTGTCTCGAAAAACAAAAAGAGGAAAAAAAAAATGACAGCACCTTCTGGGACTTGGAGGTTAAAAACACAACTACACATGACTCTAGCAAATCTGCTGCCAGGTCTAGGGCAGCCATGTCTGTTTCTAACCTGCACGTCTTCTCTTTCTCACCCAGGAAATGCCCCGACAGGCAAATGTCCAAAGTTGTCTGCCTCAGGAAGTTGCAGAGTAAATATTACATTTATTACTTTGAAGTCTCACCTGAATTTTCATGTAAAACTTTGCCAGTTTGTAAAGAAAGAAAGTCTATTAGTCACTTATAGTAACAGATCTTAATGCATCTAATGATTAATGCTGTGGATAAAGAGTTGTTTTCATTAAAGAAAAAAATAATCAAACTGACCAACACAACACTTTCAAAATTCCTTCCTGTTTATCCTGCAGCCACTGTCACTTCACACAGAAACAACCTATGGTGTTTCATCTCATCCAAGCCTATATTCTTTTTATGCAGAACAGAAGAAACCAGATCATTGATTCTGTAACAAAATAAAGTAGTTCAGGGCATAAGTGCTTGTTTCTAGAAGAGAAAGTAAGAAGGACACCTACCTTGTGAGTAGAGAAGGATTTGCATCTCTAAAAGAACACAGGTAAACACTTGAACTAGGTTCTCCAATCCCAGGAGTTCAAAGGCCTCTCGAAGAGGGTAGTCAGAAAGAGGGAGTTCATTGGGCCCAGGCCTCTGGCAGATGACAGGTTCGTAAACACCGTAAAATTTCAGCGACCTCCCAGGAGGTGGAAGGGGTACCTCATAGAGGATATTGTGGATGTAGCTCTCAAGGGGTAAGGGTGGTGGCTGCTGTGAGGTAACCGCCTTGTAAAGCTGGAAGAGGAATTTCTTACAGGCTTGCATGAAAGGCAGAGGCGTGATCAGGCATATACTTTTTGAAACATACAAGGTGTCTCTGTTGATGTCGTAAGAGTTGTACCGCTGGAGTTTCAAGAGAGAGGTTGCATCTCCCTCATCAATACTACTCGCCAGGGAGTCCATACTGCAAGAGGACGAAGCATACACACTGCTGTACTGCTCAGCGTTATGCATCTGGTACAGCGTCTGCATTGCTGTGCAGATCTGCTTACTTGTAACTTCTTCATAGAAAGTGAGAACAAAGCCATAGGTTCGAGAACCATCTTCCCGGGTAATTATAAATGAGTGGAACTGAGGTTCTTTACTGTCAGCTTGCGTTCTGAAAGACAGCCCTTTAGGCATGCACAGCTGTGAAGAAATGGGAGGGGGGAGCATCAGAATGAGGCATAAATTCAAACCAGAAAAAAATGGGGGGGGGGGGTTCTTTTTACTAGGATCCAAAGGGTAAGTTTTATCCATATTTAACTTCAGCAATAGCTTTAAATCAGAAATACAGTGCAAGTTCTTCACTTAAATGTAGATAAAATATTCTCAAGAGAAATAGACGTGGGGGCCCACTTGGCTCAGCAGTTAGAGTGCTTACCTCTCAGCCCTGGTTCAGTTCCTGGGACCCACACAGGAAAATAAGAGAACTAACTCCTACAAGTTGTCCTCTTACCTCCACCATGTGCACACCCACCAACAGTAAATAAATAAACGCATTTTAAAAAATAGATGTAAACACACACATGGGGAAAATGTTCACTGTGCAGGTTTTTATTAAGAAAGAGAAGACTGGAGCCAGAGAGGCTGCTCAACAGGTAAAGGGGTTGCTGTTAAACCTTAGGTCCATCACCAGAATCTACACAGCGGAGGAAAAGAAGCTGTTTCCTGACTTCCACACACAGTAGTATGTACAGACAGACACATGCACACACACAAAATCCAACACTAAATACACATAAAATACTTAAATTTTTTAAAAATCTGTTTATTATGTATACACTTGATAGAAGAGGACACCAGGATCTCATTATAGATGGTTGCTGGGAATTGAACTTAGAACCTCTGGAAGAGCAAGCAGCCAGTGCTCTTAACCTCTGAGCCATCTCTCTAGCCCCTTAAACTTTTAAAAGAGAATGAAATCTTTGATTAGGACTCAACAACTCAGAAAACAAAAACAAACCCTGATCTTGAACAAGACTTGACGACAGACCATGCTGGGACCTTTTACAAATTCTTAATTACTTTTTTAAAATTTGAGACAATGTCTATATAGAGCCCTGGCTGGCTTGGAATTCCCTATATAGATCAGGCTGGCCTTGAACTCACAGAGATTCACCTACTCTGCCTCAGGAGTGCTGGGATTAAAGATGTATGCCACCACGCCCAGCTTTAAGTACTATTTTTAAAGTGATTATGACAGTGTTTCAGGGAGAAAAGAAAACATAAAGGCTCTTTTTTATTAGTGAAAAAGAAGTTAACAAAAATAAAAACAAGTGCCGGGCGTTGGTGGCGCATGCCTTTAATCCCAGAACTCGGGAGGCAGAGGCAGGCGGATCACTGTGAGTTCAAGACCAGCCTGGTCTACCGAGCGAGTTCCAGGACAGCCTCCAAAGCCACAGAGAAACCCTGTCTCGAAAAACAAAAAACAAACAAACAAAAAAAAAACAAAAAAAAACCAAGGACAGATAGAAAATTAAGAAGACATGAGAAAAGAAAGGGGTCCCCATACTCCAGAGTCTGGCTGAGGTTTCTGTTAGGTGAAAATCAAGAATTCCAGCATATGGGGTTGGAGTGACGGCTCAACATTTAAGAGCACTGGCGCTGCTCTTCCACAAGACCAGGATTTGATTTCCATTAACCACATGACAGTTTACAGCCATCTGTTCACTCCGGTTCCAGGTGACCCTATGCCCTCACTTGGTACCAAGCATGCATGCAGAGAGCATAGTCACATATGTAAGCAAAACACCCGTGTACATAAAATAATTTAAAAATTCTCTTCCTCTGCAGTCCTTGTGACCTAGAGTGGCTTTGCTTTATCAAGATGTAATGAATGCTACCCAAGCCTGTCACAGCTATCACTCTATGACCTCATTTTTAAGATCGTTGGCAACCCTTTGAGATACAACTTCACAAGATACCAAAAAATGTACATTTGGCTTTATTTTATTTTTAAGACAGAGTCTTACTATGTAGCTCTGGCTGCTCTAGAACTCAAAATGTAGTCCAGGCTGGTCTCGAAGAGATCACAGAGATCTGCTTGGTTCTGACTTTGTCTACTGAATGCTGGGTTTAAGGGAGCATATCATTCACCCAGACAAATTTGTCTACTTTAAAGATACTTAAGTGTGATTCCATATGCATATTTGGGTAATTTTACCCTTACCCTGAGCATCTCTGTTAAAAAAAATCTTGTAGCCGGGCAGTGGTGGCGCACGCCTTTAATCCCAGCACTCGGGAGGCAGACGCAGGCGGATCTCTGTGAGTTCAAGGCCAGGCTGGACCGACAGCCTCCAAAACAATACAGAGAAACCCTGTCTCATAAAAACCAAAAAAAAAAAAAAATCTCTTAATATATTCCAACTCTGCTTCATACAGGTGTTGTGGAATATCATTTTAAGATGTGCCACATTTGTTTATGCTGTTGAACATTTGTTTAATGATGCAGAGATGTGTTTCATTCTTTTATGTTGCATTGGTTTAAAGCTGTGCTACTGTGCCTGTCTAAAACACCTGATTGGTCTAATAAAGAGATGAACAGCCCACAGCAAGGCAGGAGAAAGGACAAGAGGGGCTGGCAGGCAGAGACTATAAACAGAAGAAAAAAACAGACGAGAAGGAGGAAGAAAGGGGCCAGCCACCCAGCTATGCAGCCAGACAGGGAATAAGGAAAGAAAAGACATACAGAAATAGAGAAAGGTGAAAACCCAGAGGCCAAAAACAGGTAGACAGGCTAATTTAAGAAAAGCTGGCTAGAAATAAGCCAAGCTAAGCCCAAGCATTTATAAGAAAGAATAAGCCTCTGTGTGTTTATTTAGGAGCTAGCTGATGGGCCCCACAAAAGAGCAAAAGGTTTAAAAAAAAAACCAACAACAACACAAAGGCCAATCATTAAACTCTTTTACTAAGGACAAAGTCAAGGATCCCAGGTTTTTTTGTTTCTTTTCTTTGAATTAGAAACAATCTTATTTTATATATCAATCCCAGTTCCCTCTCCCTGCCATTCTCCCATGCACCCCCACTAGCCCCCCCCCATCCTATCCCTCTTCTGCTTCATAGAAAGGGTGAGGCCTTCCATGGGGGATCATCAAAGTCTGTCACATCATTTGGGGCAGGGCCTAGCACCTCCGGCTCAGAGCCCCCTCCCACCCAGGCTGAGAGAGTATCCTTCTATGGAGAATGGGCTCCCAATGTCCATTCGTACACTAGAGATAAATACTGATCCACTACCAGAGGTCCCATAGACTGTCCAGGCCTCCTAACTGACATCCACGCATAGGGTGCCTTGTTTCGCAAGGATCCTAGGTTACTGTGAGTAGAAATCTCTGAAAAGATGTGTTTCTGGTTGACAGACCCTGCAGATACTGACATCACTTTTGCTATTTTGAACAAATATGTTTTATCCTAGAAAATATCCTTTAAAATGAAACCTTTTTATTTACTAAAACAGAAAGGTAGAACAAGGTATTTTAAATTATTTGTAACAGATTTTAAGAGGCCCAAATAAGGTTCATTTTGTGACAGATTATATTTTTATAATGAATCCAACAATATTTCTAGTTCTACATACTCTTCAAGACTCTGCCATGCCCCACATTAAGAGGTCGAGTCTACCCCTCTCCTGATCCAGCCAGGCTGCTGAGAACACCTATACCTAGCAGCAAACTTCCTACAGAGTCAGATAACTATCTGAATCTGACTCAGCCCCACCATACAGTGTGAAACACACATGGGCTTAGGATAGCTGTGTTCTAACATGATTGAATAAGAATAAGATGTAGCTGGACAAATTACAGTACACGGGATTGAGATGAAATAAATTACTTTATTGATGAGAGAATCACTTACAGGAGAAACTGACAACCCAGGGTTAGCACTCCGACAGTCTCTGCTGCTCTCCGAGGCCAGACCGGAACCCCAAGAGAGTGAGACCTCCTCTCCCCAGGTCCTTATCCCACACCCCACGTACACACCTGTGGCCACATCCAAATAGGCGTGGTCAGCGCCACAGGTGCTTAGTAAGATCTCTCCCTACAATAAACAGTTAAAACTTATTATATTAAAAGGGAATAAACAGATGGATTTGTACAGGGGGAAATGTTCAATCACCCCTATAATGAGATTCAACAGCAGTGACAAATGACACATAATGACATAGCTGTCAAGAATAAAAAAGGAAGCTCCACTGGCCACACATCCTGGAAGTCTTGAAGCACCAGATAAAGAAAACTGGTGGTGATGGCCATGTTTGTGGCAGGCAGCGTCACAGTGGACCACAAGGGCATCATCTATGATATGCCTTTTGTCTTCCACAGGTGCCAGACAGCCAACTGCTCCAGCAACAGACCAGAATGTCAAGGTTTAGCAGTACTGAACAAATGCCAGTGCCCTCAGGGAGAGGCAGTCCCCATCTCAGGAGATAAAAGTGAAAATGGAGATCGGCAATACACTGCTAGCTGGAAGACACACAGTGATCTGCACAGCGTGTGACGTGGGCTCGTCCTGGACATGGACAGGCTCGGGCTTCCTGTTCTTCTGACTAAACAGCTGCGGTATGGGAAGAAACGGGAGAAGCAAATGATAATCTGTGGGGACAGAGTCGTTGGGTGAAGGGGATAACTCCAGGAGACAGCAGAGCATCTATTACTAATGTGAAATCTGCCCCGTGCATATGGGTCTGATGTTAGCAACCTGCTCAACAGATGGTATAGTAAGAATATGTGAGGCACCAGATGTTATGGGTCTCAGCCAGTGGTCTCTGCAGAGTGAGATCTCATGCAAGCTGAGCTGCAGCTCTATTTCCTGGAGCACTTCCAGCTCTTGCACTCACTCCGTGTTAGCTGTGGGAAGTGATAACAGTAGTCTGTCTACTCTACACAATGGCTGAGGTTCAGAGGACTTTGTTTTTGATTTTTTGCTTTGTTTCATTTTTGCAAGACAGGGTTTCTCTGTGTAACAGCTCTGGCTGTCTGCAACTCCCTTTGTAGACCAGGCTGGCCTTCCAGAGATCTGCCTGCCTCTGCCTCCCAGGTGCTAAGATTATTATAAGTGTGTGCCACCACCGCCTGGCTCAGAGTTTTTATTACAGTGAAAACACAATGAGTAACGCAAAGCTGAAACTCTTATGATGGTCACTGAACCTG